CTTGGAAACAGCCCAAATGTCCATCACCTGACAGATGGATGAACACGCTGGTCTATCCATACAGTAGAATATTATTTAGCCATAAAAAGGAATAAAGCACTGACACATGCTACAACATGAAGAAGCCAGACACAACAGGCCACGTGTTTCACGATCCCATTTGTGTGAAATATTCAGAACAGGCAGCTCTATCTAGTCTGAAAGCAGATGAGTGGTTGTCAGGAGCTAGGGGGAGGGAAAGTGACTGCTTAATGGGTGATAAAGCAGATCTGAATCTAGATGGTGGTGATGGTAGTATAATACTTGAAATGTACTCAATGTCACTGAATTGTACATTTTAAAACAATTAAAATGGTTAATTTTATGTCACGTGTATTTTACCATCACAAACAAATACATTTATGTGCACACAAAATGTGCATGGAGTCTCTCCTGTGTGCCAGGCACTGTACTCTGCATTTGGGACATGGGAGCCAATGAGACCAGTGTGCTTGCCACCCTCCAGCAGTTCCAGGAAGGGAGAAACACCAGCCCATAGTCCTGGGCCCCCGGGCAGCCCTGGATGTGGGTGGTGGGAGTTCAGAGGAGAAGAAATGGCCTCCTGCTGTGAATGGGGAGGACCAGGGAGATGTGCTATAAAAGACAGAACGATCTTATTATTGAAGGAATGTGTAATTAGAGGCCGCATCAGGCCGTCCTGTCCCCGCGATGAGTACGGCAGTGAATGCACGGAGCGTCTAGAAAAGCAGGGAGCGTTGGACTCCAGGGAGAAGGAAAGAGAGCAGTCACCCTCAGAACCCTGTCCCCTGGACTCTCTGCCGGGCGGCAGAGGAAAGTGGGGGTGCTGATCCAGCCAGCTGACACTCAGAGGCTTTGTCCTCTGCCTCCCAGCCAGGGGCAGGCGGGCAGCGAGAAGGAGAGAGCCAGGACTCACATCACCTAAGCAGGACTGTGTCCCGGGTGTTTGAACTGTGCCAGTTAATTTTCATCATAACCCAGTGAGGCAGGTTCTACCACTGCCCCCCCCCTCCTTTTTTAACAATGAAATTAACAAGTGTCCCCCTTTTAAAGATGGGGACATGAGACACTGAGAGGCAAAGTGGCCGTGGCCCGAGCCACCGACGCTGGTTCAGCTGCAGAGAGTCCAACCCCAGGACCCACTGGGCTGCTGGTGGAAGGACTTTCCCGCGGCCAGGGAGGCTCGGCTGCTGGAGATGAGGCTCAGGTTCCTGTGTCCTGGTCCCAGGAAGCTCACAGCCCGAGTTTCAGCCACTGGCGACTTGTAGCATCCCTTGACCACATCCCTGGAGAGAGGGACTCATGCATGCAGGTCCTCGGACCATAGCCATCCGCAGACACTGCGGCTGGGCAGCTGAAACAGCCCCAACTTGGGATTCGGCACTTGGTCGGAGTCCCACTGCCATACATATCCTGGCAGAGGGGCCCTGAACAAGTCTCAACTCCGGTGGGCTCTGTGTTGCTCATTTTTAACACCCGGGAAGCTGGCTAGGTATACCTTTTCTTCTCTTCTCTCATGAATATCTCTTGATATATATATATCCTTTCCATGCTCTTCACTCCCCTAATTACCCACTCTTGTATGTATTTACATACAGTATCTCCCCCCGCACCCCCCCCGCCGCAAATGGGATTATGCCTCATATACTGATGTTGTGACTTTATTGTTTTCACGCAACAGTAAGTTGCAGAGATGTTTCCAGGTGAGGAACGTAGATCTACATCATCCTTCTAAAATACGCTCATTTTCCCACGTGACTGCGCGGTAAGGTAACTCCTCCCCACGTCGGTATTAAAAAGCCCCGCAGTCTTGTATTGGTCGCTCTGCACACGCGTGAGCCTGTCTGCAGGAGATTCCTAGAAGCAGACCGGCTCAGCCAAAGGGCATGGCGTTTGCATTTTGAAAGACTGCCAAACGATCTTCTGGAAAAGCCTCCGCAGCTAGGCTACTTTTAAAACTGTTTAGAGGCTGCCACGGCCATGTCTTTGACCTCTAGCAGGACAGGAGGTAACAGCCTCAGAAAATCACGTCACCTCTGGGAGCCTTAGTTTGCTCATCTGTGAAATGGGAAGCCTAGAGTAAGGCACACGGAGGCAGTTGGGAGAGGGCGGTCCTGTTTAAAACGGGAGGGGTTGAAATTGTCATTAGCATTGGGAGGCTCAGGGCCTGACCACCACGACCTCCATCACACAGAGAGCAGAAAGGAGGAGCCTGAGCAAGGAGGGTGTTTCTTTCTTTCTTAAAAAAATATATTTTATTTATTTTTTACAGAGAGGAAAAGAGAGTTAGAAACACCGATGAGAGAGAATCATTGATCAGAGAGAATCACACTCCCTTCTGGGGATGTGCCCACAACTAAGGTACATGCCCTTGACTGGAATCGAACCTGGGACCTTTCAGTCCGCAGGTCGACGCTCTATCCACTGAGCCAAACCATTTAGGACATGAGGAAACTGAGCTAGGAGGGTGTTTCCAGCCCCGAATGCCTGCAGCATCCAGGATGAGAAAACCTGCTCTAGCCCTGTCTCTAACCTGCTGCCTATCTTACAGAAAACCTCACCCAAAGATGAGTATGAGAAGGCTCAGAGAGGTGAATGACTTGACCTTTGACCCCATCTGACTTTGGGGCCTGCGATCCATTCCGTATACCGCACTATCTCTGCGCAGACATCCCTCTTGTCTCCAAGTGCCGGCCAGCCTTCACTGCCTGCCCTGGCAGATGGGCTACAGGGCAGGTCATCAGTTTTTCCTAAGAGCACAGTCCCCTGCCGTTTTAGAGGTTTTATGACTTTGGGCTTGTAGTCATAACCATTGTTTCTGTTTACTGCGTGCTACACCGTTTATGGAGATGAACTCATTTTGCTCTGATAAGGACACCGAGGGAACCTGGTCACAGAGAGATTAATAATTGCCCCAGGATTACATAGTAAGCAGCAGGTTTGGGCTCTGGACCCAGATAAGAGGGGTCAGAGACCAACCTCTCAACCCGTATACACTGCGGTTCCCTCATGCTCTAACTGTTCCCCTGGGCACCTTGAATTGGGCTCCAAATCTAAAAGGAGTGTGAGGGGCCTCAGTTCCAGCTCTTGTCCCACCCAACCCCTCAGGAAGAGAAGCAGTTAGTTCTCAGAGCGTGAACAGGAAATTGCTGCAGGGCACTCGGAGCGGGAAGGATGTCCAGGGACTGAGAGGGAAAAGGCCTTGAAGGAAAGGACGTGCCTTCCTCGGACCCTGGCCACGGTTCCCGGAGCAAACCTGGCTGTGCAACTGAGGTCCTGCAGGGGTCTTGGCTCCCGCATAGTGCAAACAACCTTAGCTGCTATCCTGGGTTGGTGTAGTTTGGGCAAGCCTAAATTTGGCAGTGGGCTCAGCAAGCTCCTGGCTTTTCTCTGACAGGTGGGGACGGCAGTGCCCAGGGGTCCTGGACGTACATGTGAGGACTGGAGATAGTGTCCAGCATCCTGGAACCCCACAAGCCCTGGAGAGGCTGTGACCAGCCAGCTTTGCCACCCATTGGCTGGGTGACCTTGAGCAAGTCTCTTCCCCGCTTTGTGCGTCTGATTGCTTAACCGGCAAAGGAAGGGGCAGGATCCTGACCTAGGTGCCCTCTGAGGTCTCAGGGCTCCCGACGGGGCCATTTCTCTCTCTCCAGGGCTGACCGCTTTGGGCATTCAGGATGCACATTTTCCTGCACTTCAAGTCCCGGGGACAGCTGCAACCAGCAAGGCAAAGCTTCTTGCCTCTCTCTTCGCAGTCCCCACCATCTGGCCAGCAGAGAAGAGCTGCTCACAGCCCCCCTCAAATCACCAACATGCTGTCCCTTAGACCAGCTTCTTTGGAGCAGCAAAGCCAACCCGGTCTCCAGCCCAGTGGATGGCTCCTGCAGCACCCATCTCCCCTGGTCCAGCGCCTAGGGAATCCCACTGGGCAATGCCCAAGGAGGTGTGTATGTGTATGTGTGTGTGTGTGGGGGGGGAGGGGGGGTTGCAGGGAGCAAACTGGGGCCCTTCTTTCTGCATGGACACCCCCTTCTCTAGGAGAGGGGAAGGACTGGTGTATGTGTGGGTGGGTGGGTGTTGGGGGGCAGGAGTCTCTGCTGGTTCTGCCGCCTTAGAACCAGTCTCTAATGTCTGAGTTTGGGGGCTCCTGGAAGGGTCTCCATGCTCAGGTCCCCAGCTCTAAGGACTGCAATCACTAGGCCTCCAACTAAACCTCTTACCCTGGCCAGAGAGGTGAGATGGCATTAGGTGGAGCAGTGAGGTGTGACAGTACCGCTGGGGAAGGACGGGATTGGGTGAGGGGGGAGGTGGGTGAGGAGGGAGGTGAGTGTAAGGGGGAGGTTGGGAGGGGTGAGAGGGGGTGGGCTTGTGTGAAAGGGTTAGATAGGGGTGGGGTGAGGGGGTGACTTGGTCTGGATGGGTATCCAGACCCTTACCCTGTTTCTGAGAATAAAAGCCCCTCATCTACATCTTCAGGGGAGGAAGAGGGGAACCCTCTTGAGGAGGGGCTCACTTCTCAGGGTATGTGGGAGCCTCCATTTTCGGGGGAGAGCACACTGTCACCCCCAGGCTGAGACGACCCCATCCTTCAGAGGGGCGGGCGAAGGGGATCCAAACTGAGTGTTTAGGGGAGGGAGGGACACATGTCTCCAAAGAGGTGAGGGGACCCTAGATACCTGGGGAAGCTGGATCCCACTTTTGGAGGTGACATCTCATCCCAGGGATGAATGAGGGAGAAGCTTACCTCTAGAGCTTAGGGTCCCAAGGAGGAGCCCCCTTCTGAAGGGAAAAGGACACTATTTGCTCTCTGGCGGAGGTTGGGGGGTTGGAGAGACCTTCTCCTTTCGGGGGAGGGGGCCCAGGACTCTGGAGGATGAGGGTGGTGCTTCGGAGCGAAGACGTCGGGTTTTGCTCCCCGGGGCAGGGCCGAGGGGCTCCACCTCGACTCCCCGCGCCTCCGCGCCCCCGCGCCGCGCCCTTACCTCCAGGCCCGGCTCCGGGTGCGGGCTCCGAACTGCGGGAGCTGCTGCGCCCTGGCTCCGGCTGCCGGTCTCTGCCCGCTTCCCCCAGCGACTCCCGGGGTCCCTGGTTCCGCCGAGGCGCGCGGACCAATCAGCGCCGCCGGCCCCGGCCTCGCTCGCGCCGCAGCCAATGAGCGCGCCCGCCACGGGCCACCGCCCCCGGGGGGAGGAGGAGGCGGGGCGGGGGTAGAGTCCGGTCTCCGGGGGGCGCGGAGCCGGGGGCCTGGTGGAGGGGCCGCGAGAGCCGGAGCGAGGGCTGGAGCGGCGGCCGAGGACCCTCATCAAGCCGCGGGGAGCCTCCCTGAGGGGGGTTAGGAGCCTGTCTTAAAAAAATAAAATAAAAAATGGAGGGGAGCGGGGGAGCTCTATTGGTTGATTTCACCTCGACCTCAATGACTCCTGCACCTTTTCTGGACCCTAGGGCTGCGGGTGAGCATAGATGCCCAACTGCACTCGGCGCCCCGGAACCCGGGCTCTGGAACCCAGGAGTCAGACAAGGTTTGGTGTGGAGAGGAAGGGAAAGAGCATCATGCCCCGCCCCCTCACCTTCTTCGCCCCCCCAATGAGGGCGCTCATGCCTCTGTCACTCAGCTCAGTCCCCTGAGCTGCCATTCACTAGCACCTCCTGGCCCACCGGCTGCAGAAGGCAAAGAGCTTGTGCACTGTGGGTACAATGCAAAGAGCACTGGACCAGGAGTCCATGGTCCCTTCTGCAAGTTCTAGGGCAGGTGCCTCCACCTCCCTGATTCTCAGTTTTCTAAATGATACGTAAATGAAGACAACAGAGATAGTACCTCCTTCGTGGGCGTAAATGAGATCGGGGATGTGATGAAGGTGCTTAAATAAAAATTAAAATGCTGCATGAGAACTAGTTAATACTAAAGTGTGAATGACTGATACCCTGTAGCTTTCTGAAGGCATCTAGAAAATGATACAGTCATTCAGTGGAAAAATCGAAGACATAAGATACTTCCCATCAGAACAACATGAGGTCACCAAGTGCTCATGATGAATGAATGGTTGGTCGAATGGAGAGTCCAGACCTTAAAAGGCCAGGAAAGAAGACTGCTTTATTTCCTCCTGCTCAGCCTCATCAGGTAACTATAGGGTGTTTTTTTTTTTTTTTTGAATGTATACACAATTGACAGCTGATAGCTCAATAATGTTTCTTTTCAGATTTAACCCATTGGAATTCATAATTATGCAAAGTGTGTATGCATTTTTGGGGGACACCCTGTATTTAGTCTTCTGGAATCCTGCAAAATCCTGAGGTCCCTACTTTCTGCCTTTCACGAACCCAGGCTGCCTTATTTCTGATTAGGCAAGGACAACTGTGGGAATTAAGAATCTAAGATAGCCCTGGCCGATTTGGAGTGTCAGCATTTAGAGTGTCCACCTTCGGACCAAAGGGTCTCGGGTTCAATTCCCTGTCAAGGGCACTTGCACTTGGTTGCAAGAACCCCAGCCCCCATGTGTATCTCATGTTGATGTTTCTCTCTCTCCTCCTCCTCCCTCCTTTCCACTCTCTCTAGAAATCAATGGAAAACATGTCCTTGAGGACTAAAAAAAAAATTAAGATAAATATATAATACAAACAAATACATAAAAACTTCCAACCAACCATCTGTTCCCTTGTATAGTCTGTGACTGCAGGGACCAAACAGAAACGATAAATAAGAGTAAATAATTCAAAAGAACAGACAGGAAATAGAATTGATCTACAGTCCTGCTGAAACTGAGAGAGCTCTGTCAATCTCTTCAGTATTTTAATCTTATCATCTGGCTTACAGAACTTTATGAAGCCAGGGTTATAAATCTAACAAGTTTTCCTTAATACTTACGCCATGAAGACCATCCCCTTTATTGCCTAAGACCCACCCAAAGAAATCAAACGGTCAGTAAACATGGGAGGAATAAAGTTGTCAACAAGAAGGCAAGTGAAAGCGATGAAAAATGTCATCTATCAAAATGGTATCATTTTCATTGTTATAATTATGATTATTTGTGGATGTTTTAAGGAAGTGGACAATTTCAAGAATTGCTGATGGAAGGACAAATGATCAAAGCTTTTTCTGGGAAGAAACTAGATATTTTATTTTTAAAATCTTAAAAGTGAGTTTACCCTTTGACCTAGCAATCAAACCTCTATGAATTTACCCTAAAACAATGAATGGTGCAAAAGTTTAGTAATAAAGCAGTTTGCTTTCATTTTACTGTAGAAAAAAACACTACTAGAAACAACTTAAATGTACAACAATAGGGCTGAAGGGACACCTGCTGTACAAGACAAAATGCCTCCAACAGAACATCGGTGTCGAATGTTGAATGGGGTGGAAATCTCATCTCAAAACACTAAGTGGCCCTCGCTGGTATGGCCCAGTTGATTGTGTGTCATCCCACCCACCAAAGGATTGGATTCCTGGTCAGGGGCTGTGCCTGGGTTTGCAGGCTCAATCCTCTATAGGGGGTGTGCAGGCTGCAGCTGACCAGCTGATCCATGTTATGCTCTCATCGATGTTTCTCTCTTTTGCTTTCCTTTCACTCTCTATAAAATAAAATAAAATAAAATAAAATAAAATAAAATAAGAACAAACTACTTTTAAAAATATTATTTAATCCTCACTGGAGAATAGTCTTTCCCATTGATTTTGAAGAGAGTGGAAGGGAGGGAGGAGGGGAGAAGAGGAGAGAGAAACATCAGAGTGAGGGAACCACGTCAATCGGTTGCCTCCTGCACGTGCCCCAACCTGCAACCCAGGTACATACCCTTATTAGAATCAAACCCATGACCCTTTGGTTCATGGTCGAGTCTGTAACCACTGAGCAATACTGGCCAGAGCTAAAAAACTATTAAGTGAACAAAGATAATCATCAAAAAGTTTATTTGGTATCATTCTATTTTTGTGTGAAATCTATATAAATAGAGATAGACCAGTGCTGTCCAATCGAACTTGCTGTGATGGTGGAAATGTTCTGCATGTGTGTTGTCCGATATGGTAGCCACCAGCCATATGTAGGTTTTGGACACTTGTCACGTCACTAGTTAACTGAGAAATTGAACTTTCAAGTGTTATTGAGAATTAGTTTTAAGTTAGTCATATATGGCAATGGCTATCACATTGGATGCTAGACAGACTGATAGAAAAATAAATATCTATTAGTAGAAGTAGTTATCTTTGTAGGCTGAAATTATGGATGATTCTAATTTTACTTCATTTACATGCCACTAATTTCTAATTATTTTAAAATGAATATATACTGCTCTTGTGCTAAAATAAAATAATTAAAAATTGCCGAAACCGGTTTGGCTCAGTGGATAGAGCATCGGCCTACAGACTGAAAGGTCCCAGGTTTGATTCCGATCAAGGGCATGTACCTTGGTTGTGGGCGCATCCCCAGTAGGAGGTGTGCAGGAGGCAGCTGATCAATGTTTCTCTCATCGATGTTTCTGACTCTCTATCCCTCTCTCTTCCTCTCTGTAAAAAATCAATAAAATATATTTAAAATAAATAGAGGGCCTGAGTAAACACTTCTCTGAAGATGACATATAGATGGCCAAAAGACATATGAAAAGATGCTCAATGTCACTAATTATCAAGGAAATGCAAATTAAATCGCTATATCACCTCACACATGTCAGAATGCCTATCGTCAATATACAGCAACAAGTGGCAAGTGTTGATGAGGATGTGGGGAAAAGGGGACCCTCTTGCACTGTTGGTTTGATTGCAAATTGGTGCAGCCACTATAGAGAACAGTATGGAGATTCCTCAAAAATTAAAAATAGAACTGCCATGCGATCCAGAAATTCCACTTCCGGGTTTTTATTGGAAGAAAACAAACACTAATTTGGAAAAATATATGGACCCCTATGTTGATTGCAGCATTGCTAGTAATAGCCAAGATATGGAGCAAGCTAGATGCCCATCAACAGATAAATGAATAAAGAAGATGTGGTGCATATATACAATGCAATGTTATTCATCCATAAAAGAGAAAAACTTCCATTAGCAACAACATGGATTGACCTATAGGATATTATACTAAATGAACTAAGACAGAGAAAGACAAATATATTTATTTGTGGGAATCTAAAAAGATCAAGCAAATAAATAAACCAAACAGAAACAGATCCATAAATATAGAGAATAAGCTAATGGTTGCTACAGGGAGGGGTGGTGGAGAGATGAAAATAGAAAATAAAATGAAATGAAAAACAAAATAGTGAAGTTTAAACCAAATGCAGCCCAACTTCTGTTTTGTATGCACCCTGTGATATAAAGTGGGTTTTGCATTTTAAATGTTATTAAAAATGAAAAGAAGAAGAATATTTTGTAGCACATGAAAATTATATAAAGTTCAAATTTCAGTGTGCATAAATAATGTTTATTTTGGGACACAGCTGAACCCACTCACTTAGGCATCGTCTATTGCTGTCTTTGTGCTACAGCGGCCAAGCTGAGTAGCTGAGACAGAGACCATCTAGCTTGCAAAGCCAAAAATATTTACCATCTGGCCTTTCTAGAAAAAATGTTGCCAGCCCTGGTATAAGGCAATCAGGGGAAACAAAATGTTAGAGACCTCATTTGTCTATTCATTCATTCATTCATTCATTCATTCATTCAACTACATATTGAGTCCCTGCTATGGGTGAGGACCTGACCTGAGCATTTGGGAGGAGTTGCACTGTTTCTGGTTAAACAGAGGTGTGAGAGGGATATTTAGGAGCCAGGTGCTTTGCAAGCTGATTCTCAAATAGCTTCATTGTGAAACTTGCAAAGAAAACTGTCCACAGGTGGAGAAAGCCCTTCTCACATTAGCTTCCCTTGCATTTTCCACAGTTCTGTGCTTTCCCTGTGGGGCTGCTGGGGACAGCAGGTGCCTTCCAAGGGATGTGGAGAATGTTTTGCAGAGGCTGGCTGAGGTCCAGTATGGGAGCTCCTTTCAAAAGAGCAGCTCTGGTTGGGAGGGCTCCCAGTGGCCCTTCAAGAGGAGAAACAAGGGCAATGGAGTGTGAGGTTCTAGGGGGGCCAGCAGTGTGAGCAGGAAAGACCCTTAGAGAGCGGCAACCCATTGCACAGACCAGAGATGAGGATTAACTTGCC